CTTCCTGCCTCTCCAAGACTCTAGGCAGCAGTTCCTACCGCCAGCGCCTGCTAGACACCACAGGAAGCCACTGGAGGGAAAATGAAAAGGACAGACTGAGGAGACACACGGCAGCAAGGGACCCCAGAGGGCAGGGTTCCTATTCTAGGGAATATGCGTCTCCATCCCATCTCTGTGATAGCCGTAGACTGGGTATGTTGCTGGCTAGTGTTTGTTACTCTGGCTTTAGAGACGTCTTAGCCTACCTGCAGAGGGAAACGAGAGGACCGTGTGAGAACTGTCACTCCACAGTGGTGTCTCACGGCAGAGGCTGTGGAGGGAGCTGGTGAAGGTGCCTATCTCCACTCCCTAAACCAGCGTCACTTGAAGGCCTCAGCTGTGGAGGTGAATGTCTTGTTCCAGGCTGTCAGGGTCTTTGCCAAACTTTCTGAGACCACACTTGCCAAAAGTCAAAGGGGGAGTGGAGGGGAGTGGAAGCTATTGGGTGTGTGGGTGGAGGGGGGGAGATGTTGTCTTTCTCAAACAAGATGCTTGTATAGAAACCCTCAGTTCCATGGGATGGCTTACTGTCAGAGAGAGACCCTGAGAGGCAGAGACTGGGAGACTCATGACTATCAATAAAGTCATGGTGGTGCTTCTTCAAAGCTGACCCTCTGTCCCAGACCTCAAGACAACAGGAATGCAAAGAAACCTGGCCACCCAGAGGTCGTTCCAAGGCAGCAGCAGCAGCTAAAGGTATACAGCTTTTCCCTCTGCCCTTTTAGAAATCATAAGGAGAGCCATGCATGGTGACATACGCCTGTAATCCCAGCACTGGAGAGGCAGAGGCAGATGGATTTCTATGAGTTCAAGGCCAGCCTGATCCACACATCGAGGTCCAGGCTAATCAGGGCTACAACGTGGAACCTTGTCTTAACAAACACAATGTTGTAAGAGGAGACCCTAGAATGCAGGCAGGAGAGCAGAAGGGAGGGCGAGCAATGACCGAATCTACAGGAGCTGTGAAAACATGGCAGCACGTTCAGTGTACAGAGACTCGGTGTAAGACCCTACTGTTCACTTCTCCAGTGGAAAGGACTTGTTTTCCATAAAGGTGGCGATAAATCAAGGTACATTTAAAGAGGGGGGAACCGACTTCATTTAGGATGAGCTCATGCAGGGAATCCCAGACAACAAAGAGCAGCCGCTACTGTAACGGACACCGAACAAGTCCTGACTTGGACGAACACAGCAAACGGTCAGTCTGTAAAGCACTTCCATGCAGGCATGAAAACCTGAGTTCTGCTCTGGCAACCACCAGGCTGAATGCCACATAACTGAAGGCAGAGACAGGAGGATTCCTGGGCTCACTGGCCAGCAGCCTAGCTGGCAAGCCCAAGTGCCAGTGAGGAACTCTTAACTCAAAACAAAACAAACAAACAAACAGGCTGCCAGCTCCTGACGACCAAACCCTATAGTTAACACACATGAACACACATGAACACACATGTACAGATACACAAATTAAGCTTTTTAAAGGCAGGCCCAAATGCCTAAGTAATCATTGTTAAAACGGTGAGTATGACAGGATTTTTGACGTGAGCAACCAGGACAGGCTACAACATTTGGAAGTCAGCTGTAGTTTCATCAGAGGAAACACCAACGTCCTTCTGCTGCATCCTTCTGAGGACACCAGGGACCCCAGAAATGGGAATTTCAATGACAAGAACCTGGCTGAGAAGTAAGAGCCGTGAGTCTCTTGAGGACCCAGAGCAGGGGAAGGGAGGTCTAACCTCAGACTCTCCCAGCGGGGCCACGTCTCAGGGACTCCAAAGTTTATAGTGAACCACCCGATGCTTTGAGGCACCTCTTACCTTTTTGCTATTATTTAGTGAGAAATTAGCAGCAGACTGCTGGATCACTCTGGGTCCTGAGAGTAACAAAGAGAAGGGGAAAGGGATTAGAGCAATTAACTTACTTTATTTTAATGCGAGAAAGACTTACACATTAGACACCGTGATCTCTAGTCTTACTTTTTTTTTTAAGAGAGATTTTATGTAAGTAGGTAAAATATCAAACACAGAACAGACACACACTCTGACACAACTTCCATCACACTAAGGCAGAAGGACCAACATGCCATGGCGGGATCTCCACAGACGCCCTCCAGTGCTCTCTACAGGGCCCCAGCGGACACCACTGAGAGTGAAGTCAGTGCATTCATCCGGCTAACCCAGTCTTCTAGAGATAGTAAGCAGAAGCAACAAAGTGACGGATATCCCGCAAAAGCACGGCACAGGGCTTTCTTGAAATAGATGCTTTATGAAGTTCTTTCTTCCCCGATTTTACTGCAATTACAAAGAACTAACCAATATCAGAGGACAATTCAGCAGGATTAAGTACATCTCTACTGTGCAGACATGGCTCCCCATCTCTGCAGCTCTCTTTGTAAAACCCAGTCTGCCCCACCGACTCTGCACTCCACCCCCTCTGCCCTGGTAACCTTCTTTGTGGACCTCGGGTGAGTGGAATCACACAGGGTTTATCAGATTGGGACTGGTTTATGTCATCTAGTAAATATCCTCATGACTCACGTTGCGTGCGATGTGTCTAAACTATCTAATCTTTTCCTTTTTACAGTTTGTGTGCACATGTGTCAGTGTGCGTGTGGAGATCAGACAACAGCTCTTTACAGTTTGTGTGCACATGTGTCAGTGTGCGTGTGGAGATCAGACGACAGCTCTTTACAGTTTGTGTGCACATGTGCCAGTGTGCGTGTGGAGATCAGACGACAGCTCTTTACAGTTTGTGTGCACATGTGCCAGTGTGCGTGTGGAGATCAGACGACAGTTCTTTACAGTTTGTGTGCACATGTGTCAGTGTGCGTGTGGAGATCAGACGCTCAAGGTGTCCTCCTTCAGAACTGTGAGGCTTGGCAGCAGGTTGCCCCCAGCTTTATTCACTGAGCCATTGTTGACAGTTTTCTGCAGGGTCTCTTTAAACAGAAAGGTGAATAACTCAAAATAGCTTCAGGAAGTCCCTGAAACTGACCAGATTCACTAGGCCTCTCCCTGCCAGAGTCCGCAATAAAAGCTGAGAGTCCTCCTCGGAGGAAGGGAAGCTGAGCTGGAGAGGAGATGGAGAGGAGAAAAGCTGTAAAGAGCCTGAGCCCAGACCAGCTGACCGGGAGAAGCAGAAATCAGTCAGGCTGCCTGGAAGAGATTTAGTCCGGAGTCACCTGGAAAAGGTCTTCCTCAGCTTTTGTGAGCTGTCACCCAGACTGGGTGGGCCTTGGTGATGTAGCTGTCTGAGCCATTTCTGCTCCTGTTAGTGACCCCCTAGTTGGACTTTGGTGGTACCCATACTCTGGTCTGTTGTGGGCTCCCTATTGGGGGTGAGTAAACATGTGTGTTGCATCTCTCCAGGCAAACAAAGTCTTGTCACACAACAACCATCTTGAGGCCTCACCGTAAAGACTGAATGATGTTCAATTGCAGCACATGCCACATTTTCCTTATCCATTCATCTGCCAATGGATGTGTCCCTCCGTCTTGCTGTGGGCAGGGTTCCATCTGGCTTAGGTTTTCTGCAGTTCAGCTACAGTGTCTTGGTATGAAACTGAATTTAGTCCACTTGAGCTCATTAAGCTTCCTGGATATATTCACCTTTCATCCAATTTGGGAGCCGTTCCCCTGCCTCCTCTCTCTTCTCCTGAGACTCCTACAATGTGTGTATTGATCTATCTGATGGTGGCCCGAAGCCCCCACAGGTTCTGTTCATTATCTCCACTCATTTTTCCTTCTGCTCCTCAGACTCACCATGCCTCCCACCCTACCTTTGGGTCTGTAGATGCTCCCCTTTGCCTGCCCCGATCTGCTTTTTAGCCTTCCCGTGAAGCTCAATTCAATTATGGTCCCCTTTAGCTCCAGAATTTCCTTTTGGTCTGTCTCCCTTTCCCGGCATTCCCGCCATGGTCATGGTTTGCTCTCTGGCTCTTTCCATACTTTTCTCTTACTCCTTAAGCTGTCATAGCCTTTGTCTAGCTGATCTGCCCCATGGTTTCAGGGACAGAGTCTTGATACATTTAATTTTTTTTCTTTTGACAGGCCCTATTTTATTATTTCTTAGTTGGCTTTGCCTTTAACTATAACACTGTGGTGCCCTGAAACTCCAGAGGTTTTCTTCTTTGTTTGTTTTTGGGCTTTTTGTTTTGTTTTGTTTTGTTTTGTTTTGTTTTGTTTTGAGACAGGGTTTCTCTATGCAGCCATGGTTGTCTTAGAACTTGCTCTGTAGATCAGGCTGGCCTTGAATTCACAGGTCTGCCTGCCTCTACCTACTGAGTGCTGCACCACCACCACCTGGTGTGCTTTTGTCTTTTGCCAAGATGGTTGTTGCTACTGTAGACTTCTGTGCTGAATAGCAGCTGGCAGTGTTAACTTAAGGTCTTCCTGGGTTTTGTTCTCCTGCGTGTTTCTCTGGACAGGTGTGGTGATTGCCTAATATCTCCTGACTATGCTGCTCCTTTGGAATCTCCAAATGTTCGTTGTTTACTTCCCAAGAAGAAAAAAGGAGAACCATGCAGGGGACCGGAGGAGAAGGGCTAGCTATTCAAACTCCCTGTTCGTTGCCTCTGCTAGATGGGGTAGGGTTTACAGCGATGGAGGCCTTGAGTACACCAGCAATGGCTGCCTTGCCTTGCCTTGCCTTGCTCCACCTCTGTGACCAGAAGCAGCGACTGAGGCTCAGAGCTCAGGTTCCCAGTTTAGGGAGGACAGAGTCCTTTCGTCCCTTCGTTCCTACAAGCTATACGCAGGCCAATCAGAACCGGAGCCAAGGATGCCTGCTGTAGAGCCAGCGTGGGTGTGAGGGTCTGCCACAGCAGTAAGGGCCGGACTGGCTGAAATCAATCAATAGTGTATTGTCCAGCTGCCCCGCCCCTCAGAAGTTACAAACCTCCAATAGACTCAGTCAGGTTTCCACTGCCGGGGCTGGTCTGGGCATGGAAGCACATTCCTCCCAACACTACCATCTTCCCAGAGTCCCTAGCATCTCTGATTCTAACTGTGATCGATCCTTCAGGGCTTTGGCCTTAAGTGATTTTAAAATTAATTTACGGCTGGATTTGTCTAAGACATACTATTCTTGCCAAGTGTGGTGTCACATGCCTTTAGTCTCAGCACTTGGGAGGCAGAGGCTGGAACTCATCTCTATGAGTTCCCGCAAGCCTGGTCTACACAGCGAGACTCTGTATTTAAAATAAATTTTAAAACTACCACTCTTAACTTGTGACGCCAATTCTTTGGGCTGCCTCTGTGGCCGCCCCAGGCTCCTGCGCTGGTGCAGGGTCTGCACGTGACTAGCACAACTTCCTGTCTGAGGCACCTGCAAAGGCCCCGCTGCTGTCTCCACACAGGAAGGGGCCGCTCCGCGGCAAGGTATGTGCCAAGCAGACTCCCAAGACCAGTGAACTCTTACTCTGGCTTCTGAGAAAGACTTAAAAACCGACATCAGTAGCACCTGGACTCTAAGCTACCTGGGCACCCTGGGCTTCAGTTTCCCCCACACTACCCCGGACTCTCCACTAGTAACATCACTACGTAAGTAATTGAGGAGAGAGCGCTGACAACGGCTGGCTTCTTGCATTAATCTCAGCGGGGCACAAGTGTTTGATTAAACACTGCTCTCAGGTGTCTGTGAGGAATTTCTGGGTAAGAGTCCCCTTTCTGTCAGGAGACTCAACAAAGCAAACTGCCCTAGCCAGGGAAGGCGGGCCTCTTCAACCTGCTGAGGCCTAAACAGACATGTGGAAGAGACTCTGGTCTCCCTGTCTCCATTGGTAACCTGAGTATCTGGCCATGAGACCAGACCTGGACTGGGGCTTACACCATTAACCTCTTGGCTCTCAGGCCCCTGGACCCTGACTGATGCACTGGCTTTCCTGGCTCCCATTTGCTAACTGTAGACGTGTGGATTCCTTAACCTCCCAAATCATGTGAGTCAGTTCCCTTATTTCACATAGATATAAAATAATATCACATATAATTATTATATATACTATAGCTCATAATTCTATTACATACTTAGATCTAACAATATTAAAAGATATTTATGTTGTAAATAATTTATACTTTAATCTAAATACACTGCATTATAATTATGAATATATTATAAATTATGTATTATAATAGTATACAGTAATGAGATATAATTATAATAATATAGTGGGTACATATATATGTGTGTGCGCGCACGTGCATACACACACACACACACACACACACACACTCCTTATTGTTTGCTTTTCCAGAAGACTGACAGTAATCTGTGTGGTGGAAGAAAGTGATGGGATCCTGACATCGCCCCTGTCTTGGCCTTGGGGCATCAGTTTTTGTCTTCGTTTCAGAGTGCAGGCTGGGTACAGTCTGGACAAGAGCTGGCTGATACCCACTGAGACTGCACACACTGTTAATGCCTCCCTACCAATACGAAAGGACAGTCTGACATGGAAGTGAGATAATGGGTAAACCTGTATTAGGATTAATGTGACTTTAGACCCTTGGTGACTCAATGGGAAGGAGAAGAAGTTGGCTATAGTTGCTATGGTGACAACTGTGTCATTACCACAGGGCACGAAGGATCCCAATGGTCACTCTCTGCCCCAGCCTGCTCTAGCCACTCGCCAGTCCAAACTTCTGTTGAGATTAAGAAACTAGCTTTTGCCGGGTGGTGGCGCATGCCTTTAATCCTAGCACTCAGGAGGCAGAGGCAGGCAGATCTCTTTGCTAGCCTGGTCTACAAGAGCTAGTTCCAGGACAGGCTCCAAAGCCACAGAGAAACCCTGTCTTCAAATACAAAAAAAAAAAAGAAAGGGAGAAAGAAAGGAAGGAAGGAAGGAAGGAAGGAAGGAAGGAAGGAAGGAAGGAAGAAACTAGCTTTCTGAGGCCTGAATACCTCTGGGATTTAACCACGCCATCGTTTAGAATAGCTACCACAAACCACCCTCAATGAATAGGCTATCTTACTTAGAAAGAAGGACAGACATGGAGGAGAACACTCTCCCACCAAGGCGGGCTCCTGCTGCCATGCTGGAGATGAGACAGAGGGAACCCTGGCCTCTGAGACCTTGTGAGGACCACTTGGCTTCTGTAGCTCTATTTTGTGATTATTAGAAAGAAAATTTGGGGCAGGGGGACAGCTCAGCAGGCATGAACTTGTTGTGCAAGCGTGAGGAGTAAAGTAAATGCTGGGAGGTACAAGGGCTGTCTGCAATCCCAGGGCGCTGAAGGCAGCGACGGATGCCCAGAGCAAGCTGGCTGGCGAGACCAGTTGAACTGGTGAGCACTGGGTTCAAGTGAGAGATCCTGCCACCAAACATAAGGTGGCAAGTGATAGAGGAAGACAGCTGTCATCACCATCTGGACACACATACACACACACACACACACACACACACACACACACGACAAAAACAAAATAGGTTAGTCTTCCTAGAGGATGTCAAAGCTAAACATTGCTAAGACGTGGCTCTTCTGCGAGGACAGTTTCTCCTGCCTGGCACTTTTCACACAGTCCTGGAGCTTGAGATGTCACCAGCCCAAATCTCTATAGCCCGCCTAGACTTTTACATGGCCTGTTTCCCTCCTAAGGAGTCAGTAGGTTCTGGACCCCCCCAGGACACAATAAACTCTAGAAATGTTTGCATGGGTTACAGAGCAAATTCAAAGCCAGTTTGGCTTATTTTAAAAGAAGAAGGAAGAAAGGAGGGAGAAGGTAGGAGAGAGGAAAGAGGAGGAGGAGAAAGAGGAGGAGAAGGAGAGGAGGAGGAGGAGGAGGAGGAAGAAGTGGTAGTAGTTATATGGCAAATAAAAGGCAGGTAGGAGTTGCCTGCACTGACAAACTGACCTAGGCTGTTTGCCCTGGATGCTGTGAACAGCATTACCCAACTTGCCCCCTGCACCTCCAGAGAAGACAAGGTTCAAGGCATGACCACCTTGTGCCCTGTGAACTCAGAGAGAAGGAACATCTCTCTTCATACTGAGACCTGGCTAGGAGTATGAGCTGGGCTGGCAGCACTGAACCAGAGTGGCTATAAGTGGGAAAATGATTAAAGGAAAGACTTACCCTTGATCCCAACGAAGACGGTCAGTCCAAAACAGATGAAGAAAACGACAAACACGAGGACAAAGTGGCGCTTGGAGAGCGTGTAGAGCCGCATGGGCGCCAGCCTGCGGGGCAGAAGCCGGGAGTGAGGACAGTCGGCGCTCCCACATCAGCCCAGGCTAGCACCACCACAGGCCGCACCAGACCTGCTCCTCCTCAGAAGCACACCGCTCCTGGGGAACCTCTCAAGGGTGGGCCATCTGTCTGTTTTCTGTCAGAGTCACCGCCACTCTGGCCTGCCTCACTCAGGCCAAACCCAGAGCTGTGGTTGAAGAATGAATGCATGGTGGTTTCCATGCCAAGGAGAAATGTCACCACCCCACAGAAGTGACCTAACCTTTTACATAGCCCACTTCTAGCTTCCAGAGTAGAGCCACAGCTCAGGCCAACAAGGAGTCTGACTCTATTTATCCATCACTGTAAAACCCAGGGAGAGAATACCAGGGACCAGAGGCAGCAGCCATTTCCATCTGGTCTACCCAACGCTCAGAGTCCTAGTCCCCCACACTAGTGAAAAGCAGCCCACCCTTCCCAGAAGAGAGCGTCCGACTCCTCCACGCTTCTGTGACCTACAGGAATATAGAAGCCCTTGGAGAGGCTTGATCCCCGGATGTAACTACACTTCCCTCAGAACAAAACATGGGGGGCGGGGACACCAGAGAGACAGTTTTGCGGCTACAATCATGTACTAGCAAAGGTCCCAGGGTGCACATCAGTGGCTCACAATTGCCTGTGCCTCTTGCTCCAAGAGACCCAATGCCCTCTTGGCCTCTGTGAGCAAAACTGCACACACCACAGACCCCATCCCTGCCACTGACACTTGCGCCCACACATAATTTAAAAACTAAAATAAATCTTTACAACAAAAAACTCAGGAAAACATTTCCTGCTCAGCACTTAATGCAGCATACTAGGCAGGTAAACCAAAGAAATCTGTAAATTCTTCAGCCTTGCGAAACACGGAATCTGCAGTCTCAGAGCTGTACCCTTCAGCGTGGTCACGGTCTCACAATCACATGAGCAATGTTTGTACTTCAATTAGCTTCACTAATAAAAAGCAGTGTTGACAGAAGTGGCCAACCCCAGGAAAGAGTCCTAAGGAGGGGGCTGACCCCCAGGGGAGGAGCTGGGGCAGGGGGTGGGGTTTGCTTGTTGGCTGCACTGCACCTGTGGTCCTGCTGCTTAATTTGGAAGCTGAAAGCAACAGGAAGGCTGAGTCAACTGGGGGGTAGGGGTGTGGCCTGGAGATGCAGGGTAAGGTTACCCGCCAGCTTGGACTCACAGTGCACACCCCTTCCTTCCACATGTGCCTGAGACTCCAGATGGCAGGCAGGAAGTCAACCCTGGGGCAGGGCAGTCTAAGCACAAAGGTGAGGCCAGGGAGTCGTTGCTGCTCTGACGTGGCACCGCTGACTAAGCAGGCCCGTGCAGCCACCTGATGAATACCCGAGTGGCCTGCCTGACTCTCAGACCACTATCAATGCATTTGGTGAAAGATGGATTGTAACCTGGAGGTCTTCTTGGGGCTCTGGCTCCAACAGAGACCCCTAAGCCACCCTGTTGGCAGGGCAGGAGAAACTGGTGACACAAGAGAGTGCTCCAGCTAAGACAGGGCCCCTCCCGTATCAGATACAGAACTGCTCTCAGAAGGAGACAGGTTTCTTTATAAACTATAGTTCTCACTCCAAAGGGCACAACAGAGAGTTTGCTCCAAGTTAAACATGAGTGACCAGGGCCCAGGCACATGGATTCATATTGTTTTGATGATATCTTCCACTATGGAAGTGGTTACATAAGCTTTTATCAGTCAATACATTTACCAAATACATTAGTGGAGACACTAGGCAGGCAGGTCACAGCAAACGGGGAGTCTCTGGTATAGGCTTCAGGAGCTGTCTGATGGGATTCTTAGCTTTGGGATTGGTGGGCCCTAATGGCTGTGTCTTAGGGTTACTACTGCGGTGATGAAACACCATGACCACAGCAACTTGGGAGGAAAGGGTTTATTTGGCTTATGCATCTACATCACTGTTCCCCATCAGAGGAAGTCAGGACAGAAACCTAAACAGGGCAGGAACCTGCAGGCAGGAGCTAATGCAGAGGCAAGGAGGGTGCTACTTACAGACTTACTCATCATGGCTTGCTCAGCCTGCTTTGTTATAGAACCCAGGACCACCTGCCCAGAGTTGGCACCACCCACCATGGGCTGGGCCCTCCCCCATTAATCACTAATTAAGAAAATGTCCTATAGGCTTGCCTACAGCCCAATCATATGACTTTTCCAGGGACTTTCAGTTCACACCTAGGCTTTACAGATAGGAAAGCTGAGATCTGGAGGTGACAGACCTGTCCAAGATGTCACAGCCATGCTTCCCTGGAGGGAGGAGGCTCTGGGAGACAGGGCCCAGTTAACGCCCACCTGGAAGAGGCCTGAGGAATGTGAGTGCTGGCAGAAGCACAGGTGTCCCTCTTGTCCTTCTGTGACCCAGGTGCCTATTTATTTAGACAGTCTGTCTGGATATATTTCTGTTTTAAGACTGAAAGGAAGGGACGGTTTCTAGGCAACTGCATAGGACATTTCCACAAAGAAACCAAGATTTACACAAAGCTAAATGGACTGGGTGGTGGGAAGAGTGTGAACAGCGATAGTTAACGGCCTCTCACCCGTGTTAATGATGCCAACTGAGATAAAGGTGCCAGGTCACATGAGACGCTGGTATCAGGGGAGCCTGGTATCCTTGCCACTTTCCTATGGATTGAAAATGGTTTGTAGAAATCTCAGAGCCATTTGTGAACTATGACTGCACTATGCTCAGAGTGACCCCATCTTGCTGATAGATCAGAGACAAAACAGCATGGAGAACTCCGTATGTGAGGGCTAAAGCAGCGGCTTGGAGAGAGACATCAAAAGAAGATTAGATTTTAAACCTGTAGTTAAAAATGCATCAATTGGCCACGAATCATGGTGCACGCCTTTAATCCCAGCACTCTGGAGGCAGAAGCAGGTGAATCTCTGTAGGTTCGAGGACAACTTAAACCACATAGCAAGTATGAGGACAGCCAGGGCTACATAGAGAGATCCCGTCTCAACAAGCAAACAAATGCACCACTGACTTCCCGAATGCGTGGTCACTTAGCAGACGAGAAGCCGGGGCTCAGTACCCAGCACTGTGCTGGAAGTCAGGAGCACAGACAGTTCCCTTGCCCCAGATCACACAGCTACCACACAGCAGTATCAGACCCAAGCATCACACTTGCTTCCCAACAGTCCAACCAGACTCCAGTCAAGTTCACTCAGAGTTTTCCTGATCTGAAACCTCTTCTCCCAAGCCACGGAAATCCTATGCTCAGCCTCCCACCTTCTCATGACACCTTCCTTCAGTACTCCATCTCTTGTGGCTGCCCACATTGTCTCACTACAAAGAGAACTTAGTGCCTAAAGACATTACCTGGCCTGTTGGGGCTGCAGACCCTCAGACCCTTGACTTCCTGTGACCTTTGCCTGCTGGAGTGAGCTGAGTAAACAACTTGTTTTCCTGTGCCTGCTCTGAACATGAGATCCTCATGAGTTCCTGATGGCAGGGGAGTGGTTTTTGGTGGGCCTGCAGCTGAAAATCCCAAGA